TAATAAATTAAATATTTATTTTAATTAAATATATAAATTAATGATGATGAGTTTTAATTCAATGATAGTTTTTAAAATAAAAATATTTAAAAAAAACTAATTTTTTTAGAATATTGAATATTTTAAGAGTTAAAATAATTTATAATAATATTTTTTTTTGTTCAATATAATGTATTAATCATTTTTTTAAAGACATGATCTAATTAATATTTAAAGAAAAGTTCATGTCTCAAATCGATATAAAATAAAATAATTAAAGAGTACATAAGTTGAGACAACACTTACCTTACAAATTGATTTGTATGGTTGAGTGCTAGACTTATAATCTATAATCTAAGAGTTTAAAAGGTTATGTATCACATGTTAGAGGTGTAGAAACAAATTTCTTAATGTCACGAATGAATTCATTGTGAGCATTTGAAAGTTAAAGAATTGTTAATAGAATTTCTTGCGCAAAAATTCGCAAAAAACTTTCTTACGAATTTTTTTCGTAAGAAATTTCACAGAAAAAGTTCTTGCAATTTTTAAAATTCTCAAAAACATATTATCCACGAAGGTATTACTTAAAAAAAAATTGTAAGAATAATATTTGTTGTGAATTTTTATATAAAATTCGCATGAAAAATCACATGTAATAAGAAAAATTTTAGTAATGTAATAAAAAAAAATATTTGATATCCTTCAAAATAAAACTTTTTTGTGAAATATCCTTCAATTAATACACTTAGCTTTTCTTTCAAAAATGTTATTGACCTAAAAAAAGATACACATTTTCTTCTGCTGATAATAAGTAAAGAAGAAAAACAGTAGAACGTTTCATCATCTTTTTTATTTGTAAAAATAAGAAAGATTAGCATCTCCAATGGGGGTTGCTTATAAGCAACCCCTTGTACTACATCACTGCTAAATCAGCTCTGCCTCATTTTATGGATTGCTTAAATTTTAGCAGAAATAACTAGGTCCTCATGCTTTTTTAACTACCCCAACTCTTCCCCACCCAACCACTAGGCTAACCCTATTAATTTTAGAACGTTTCATCATCTATGTATTATAATAAAATATATTTAATATCTTTTAATTAATACCGTAAGCTTTTCTTTCAAAAAAAAAAAATAGTAACTGCCCTTCAAAAAAAGATACACACTTTGCTGCTGATAATATGCAGAACGTTTCATCATTTGTACTTTATAATAAAATATAGAGCAAGTTATTTACACTCCTGTGATAGATAAGAGTATAACATGATTTCTCTTTTTATATTTCTATATTATATTATCATATATTTATATGTTAAAATATAGAATAAATTACACTTTTAATTTTTAAAAATAAAAATATTATATATTATCAATCTCCTATTATACTAAAAATATATTTTAAAATATTTAATTTTACATATATAAAGAATATTCATCATAAAATTTAAAATGTACTTTAAATAAAAATACATGTTAAAATATTTTTAGTCCATTGTCATTAATTCACTTAATAAAAAAATGTAAAATATATAATTAAATTTAAAATAATAAATAAATTTATAAATTATAAATAAATTATATACGTATACCCATATATATACGCCAATTTATATATTAAATTTTGTAAAAAATTATATTTTATTTAATAATAGATTTTATATAAATATATTTATTTAAAAACTTATATGTTTCATATACATATTTTGACATTATATTTATTAAATATGATAAATAATATTTTATTAAAACTACTAATTTATTTTGATTTATTACTATCATTAATTAAATAATACCTTAATACTTATATATTATCTTTAATATATTTAATTAATACTAAATGATAGAAATACTATTCTTTTTACATATTTATAAAAT